TAAGTGTTAGCTTAATTTACTTGAAAACTTTTTTAATGGTTAAATCCTTGATGGTGTTTCAACATATTGTGTCAAGTCAAGAGAGATTCTGCATTCATCGATATGTGAACCATGCTGAAAACATAAAATTTTATAATATAATTGGTAAACAAAGCGGTATCAGTAGACAAAGCGGTATCCTCAAGGCTAGTAATTAATATCAAATGTCTAAATTAAGGACACTGATTGGTGCACACTCGAATCCTACACTCGGGTGTGCACCCTTTACATAAAAAAAAAAAATAATATACACTCAGATTCTTTTTTTTTTTATGGGGGGTGTGCACACCCGAGTGTGAGATCTGAGTGTGCACACATCATTTTCCCTAAATTAAAATCCATCTTACAATATCAGCATGCAAATACTCCAGTGGAGTCGTCAGATATAAAAAATTCTAAAAAAGTGTCTGCCTTCAAGAGTGTCTTCTGAAATTTACTTTCATAAAACTACTTATCCTATTCTGTGGCCAGAAAAAACAAAACCATTTCATTACTAAGAGTGCATTTGAGATTATAGTAAAGTATTATGCCTGTAATTGTAATTATAATTAAAAGTTATTTTAATATTTGATTATTTAGTTCTTAAAATTATTATAAATTGTCAATGATCTAAAATAATTTAATAATCATCTCCTTCCGTTAAAAGTAAAAGATCATGAGTTCGAATCGTATGACATACGAGTAAGGTAGGATAAGAGATTGGAAATGGTTGTATCCCATTGTATAATCAAGATAAAAAAAATATTATAAATGAAATATAGTAAATTTTATTAATTATTAATTAAAATTTAAAAAATATTGTATAATATATTATTATTAAAATAGATAGTATTTATTACTAATTTATTATAATATTCTATAATTTAAAAAAAATAATTTTAAAAAATTACTAAATACAAATATATATCTAAAAATATTATATGATCATAAAAAAAAATTTCCTCATCACATTCCTAAACGCAGCCTAAGCTTACATTACTTGGCTCAACTTGTCACTTTGGCCTTTTTATATGACTTTGATGCACCCACTGTGGGGCGTATATATAATGGTGAAGGGAATAAAAAAATGAAATAAATTACTACACAAAATCAGACACCAAATTCGCACTGGTGGGTGGAATAACCACTGGACCTCATTCCTTGCATGCTTTAATTTAAACGCAAAATTCTCCTCACCATAAACTCCTTTCCGGGTGAAACCCCACATTTCCCAGAACTTCCACAGACTTCACGAATCCACAGTATGGAATAGAATCGCTCTTTGCATGCATATAAATACCAACCCTCAACCGTTGTTAATGACAGTAGTGTTACAATATTCCAAGAAGCGCTATCGATATTCTGTTTTGTTGGTGAGAAAATAAAAGGGAAAATGATAAGGTGGGAAGATGTTTATAAGGTGGTGGTGGCGATGACGCCGCTATATTTTGCGCTCATGTTAGGGTATGGTTCGGTGAAGTGGTGGCGGATATTTAAGCCGGACCAGTGTGATGCCATAAACCGCCTGGTTTGTTATTTCACTCTACCTCTGTTTACTCTGGAGTTCACGGCGAACATCAATCCTTTCCAAATGAACTATC